TAAAACATTAATAAATACAGTAATACATAAATATGTAATACATAAATAATAAGTAATACATAAATATATAAATAAATATTTAATAATTTAAAAAAATCCAATTTGATGTAATTAAATAATCTTTAAAAAATAATTGAATTTGCTAACAATATTTTTTATGTGCAGAAAAATATCTCAAGTACTTATTTGAGTAGTTTAAATATTATAAATAATAAATAGAAATTGTATTTACCAAATATAATTTTTCGTAAATATAAATCGAAAAATGAACGTTTTTTCTTTCCGCCAATGTAGCTATATAAACTTCCAACTGAATCACTCAGAAGTCTACGTAAGATGTTAAATGTAAGTGATTTAACATCCGTTCCACCTATTCGTGCCACTTGTGTAATCTAAAAATTAAATAAATAATAAATTAAAAAAAAAAAATTAAAATAATTATAATTATAAATGAAATTAAAAATATAAATAAGTTTAATTTTTTCGATTCAATTATTTTTAAAGATTATTTTTCAAAATACGCATACCAATGCTTTACGATTTATTTTATTCTCAACTAATTGTTGTTCAAATTTTTCTAGCTCTTCTAATGTTTGTAACGGAAAGAATTCCATGTAATCTACTTCAACATCTTTCTTTTTCACTCCATCATCTAATACAAAAGTTTGGATTTGATTTTGTATACTATCTAATTTAGTGTTTATATTTTTCTGTTCCTCATGTACTGTTGATGAAGTCTATATCCAATAATTTTCGTACAACATATCATTGAAAATCTGTTGTTGCTCTAAATAGTAATATATATTATAAAATAATAAAAAATACGTTTTAAAACATAAAATATATATAATACATACAAATGTGATAGAATACATGGAAATTTACATTACAAAATAATACAAATTAATACTTACAAATTGTAGAACTAGTTTCATAAGTTACAGAGCTGAACTCTTTTTCTTTGATATTATTCTGATTAAAATCACGTCCTATATAAGAATAAAAAAACAATGTTAAATATTACAATGAAATTAGTTTATAACTATTTTAATAATACTAAAATATAATAATTTATTGAATATACTAAAAATATAAAAATACTGAAAGCGCGATACTAAAAATAAAATTATTATAAAAATTATTATTGTAAAAATTATTATACATATTTTTATCGATTACCTGTATTTTGATTTATTGAACAAGAAAATGTTTTTACATTTGTTTTGTTTAGGTTAATATTTGAATTGTTATTTTCATACTCGGTCAGTTTTGATACATTTTTATCTATATAAATGATAAGTAAAATTATTATTGCAATGTATATATTATAAATCTTTTTACTATATTAATATACGCTATACATCTTTTTACTAACTTTTCAATGGCATTTTAATTGTTGAATTTTCATACGACTGTTTATCAAGATTTTTTTTGTGTGGAACCTTTGGATACGATGGTATACGAACACGTTTTTCCTCTTCACTCAAACTTTCTTCACTACTTATAACAGTCTTGGCTCTATATTTTCTACTCCTTTTTAAAGTATCATTATCTTCACTTTCAGAATTTAAATCTGATATAAATTCTGCTTTTTTTAATTTGTTTATTCCTTTTTCATATGTACCTTAAAAAAATAAAATTATATATAACAAATAGTAAATATAAAAATAAAAATTTTTATATTTTTAAATATAAAAACTGCTTATTAATTATATATTTTACTTTAACAATTATACTCTAAAGTGTAAGTATTATAAATTTGTAAAAATATTTTTGGAAAAATTGTCTATAAGTTATGCTACAAACATATACTATATTTAATACTATTTTAATATTGAAGAATATTGAATAAGCAACAAAATAAGAATACAATTATCTATATTAACGTATTATTTATGTATATTAATGTAATTATTTATTTTACTTTTTGTATGTACTTACTTGCAGTTGCTAAAATCCTTTTTATTTCATGTTGCGGCCAATCGTCCATCTTTGAAATACATTTTTGCACAGCTTTTCTAAATCTTTCGTTTGATATAAAAGTAGGCCAATATGCATATTTATTATTTTCGGTTATCCAAGAAGAGGGTATCATTTGCAATCCATCGATGAACTCTACTATGGTATACTGTTCCATAGCTCCAAACTAGCAGTAATAGATATTAAATATATTTTAAAAATATATTTAATATACAATATACAGTTTAAACATACAAAATATATATAAGTGTTAAATTAGTATATTAAAATATTAAATATACATTATCTAATTACAATAACTAAAATCTATATATATGTATATATATATATATATATATATATATATTTTTTTTAATTTCAATTTATTAATGTAACAATGGAAGTACTACATATTTATTTTCTAATAATGGTAATTTAACATATTTTGTATCAATATTTTTTATTGGCCACATTTGTAATTGACCTAAACTATGTACACTAAATATTTGTAATAACGATGAGGAACATGGAATGTTGTAAAAATCTTCCTTGTATAAAAATTTTCGACCTATAATTACATCTACATTTAGATCTTTATTATGTGCTATGTTTTCTATTAACACAATAGTTCCATCAGTTAATACGCAACAACTGTCAGTTGTACATCTATACGTAAAGTCATATTTTCTTTTCTTATTATTTTATATTGTGGATTGCAACAGCCATGTATTAATGGACCAGATGTATGAATAGATTTCAAATCTACTGTAAAATGATTAGTTTCTTTTGTTATAAGTTTTTCTGCTACTTTATTTTTTTCATGTTCAATATATCTTCTTACAATTTGTTGTAAAGGTTTATCATATTTTTTTAATAGTTTCTTTAACGTTTGTAAATAATTTTCATATTTAAACGCACTAAAATTATCTAGTGGACCAAATTTTTTTACATCTTTTACAAGATGAATAAGACCATGTACATTGTAAGAAACGTTATGTGTACCATAAATTAATGCAAATGCTGTAACGAAATGTTCTAATAATTCTTGACAATAATTAAATAAATCCTGTAATTTATTGGAACATAATACTCTAATAGCTACATGTAAAGTTACAAAATGATCATATATATCTCTACGAAGAAAATTTTTAAAAACTACAGGTCCTGTATATAAAAGCAGTTCTCGATATTCTGTTGCTTTCCACAATTTCACATAAGTTAGTGATCGAGGCTTTCTTACAAACTCACATGGTACATTATTTTTGAAAATATTTTCTAAATTTAATGATATACTTTGACACTTTCTATTTTCTAAACGAAATCTGTTATCACCAAATAGCCATAAATATAATAAACGTCGCGTAACCCCTAGACAAACTAAATGCATGTAATCTAATGGTATATTATTTATAAGATCAAAATTTGGAATGTCTTCAACAATTGTGGTTCCAATATGAAAATTTTCATCAGTCTTTAATCTAAAATCTAGATCTGTCCTCAATGAAGCATTTATTTCTGGAAAACAAACTTTATTACAACGGAAATCACCTTCAGTTATACATTTAGTGCAACTCGAATAACCAGTATGTCCTTTAATTTGTAATATAAATGATTTGGCTGGAGTATCACATATTATTGAATCTATACTACATTTAATGTGTTTATTATTGATAAAAATTCCATCATTACATAATAATTTTGCTTCTTCTATGAATTCTTTTAAAAACTCTTGTAAATTTGAAGGTTTTTGTCTACCGTAATATGCACCAATAATAAAAACTTGTTTTGATTGTACTACGGAACCCAAAATTGGCCATAATTGTTGTTGCGAAGACTTTGCTAATGGTAGTCCATCAATATTTATACTTATTTTTATATTACTTAAATTTGTTGAAAAAGATGAACAACTATTTTCTATTGCCTTTAATAAACCAAAATGATAATATTCTCCGCTACCACAATTTCTAATATTTGTACTTCTTGGTGTGCGCAAAAGTGTTCTAGGATCAGATGGTATGTCATGATGACATTTAACACATGTATATTGTTTTATTCCTTTTAAAAGACTACGTAATGATGCCTGTGCAATGTTTTCTTTAACTGCCCAACTGGCAAGAAATCCTTTAAAATCACTTTTTTCAGTATCTGTATTATCATCATTATTATTCAAAAATTCTTGCTCTAATAAAGGTAAAAACTCATTGTTTTCATTTTCGCTGCTTGAAGCAGGATTTATTTCCTCAAGATCACTATCGTTTGATAAATTTGCATCCATTGATATATCCAAAACATTCTCAATAATTTCAGATGTAGGTTCATTAGATAATACCCAGACAGCACATGGATGTCCTCTGGAAATCCAAAGGACATCCAGTATGGACAAAATGGATATCCTGTGGACATCCTATTTCAATCCCAGGATATCTTCCGGATGTCTTGAGGAAGGGCAAATGATCGCTCATTTTTAGTCCCTGAATCATCCCAAGGATATTATGTAGGACATCCCAAGGATATTGTATAGGACATTACAAGGACTTTTATAGGACATAAAAATAATGTTTTTAAATTGTTATTTCTCAGAAAAATAATGTTTTATTACGTTCATATTTATAATTAGATTTATATTAAATCACAGAAGCTTTATTTTTATTATAATTATATCACAAAAGTTATAACTAGTTATAAACTTTTAAATAAAAATTATATTTATATAGATATATATGTTAATTTGAACATTCAGAACGTCAAAGTAATTACTAAAATAATACTAAAATAGTAATAATTTTAAAAAATGCTACATGAAAGATAAACTTAATAAAAGAAAGTAATAACATTAAATTATTAATGTAATGAGACTACAAAATAATAACATAAAATACATTGCAATTTATAGTTTGTACGTGAAACATTGCACTCGTTAATTTTCGCAAAACAAAACTATTAAAAATAAAATAATTATAAATAAGTATATACATTTCATGTTCCAGCTCTATATATGTAGCAATTAAATAAAAGCTTTGGAAAAATTAAAAACTAAAAAAATTAAAAATTAAAAAAGTATGTACAGTTGTTTCATTCATTAATAATTAAAAAAAAATCATAAATCTGGCTTAAGAAATTATAGGTACTTCTTATAGTATAAAGAATAAATTTTATTCTTTATTTTCCACTCCAGGGTTAGTTCTAGTTTCTTTGCTGCAAATAAAAATAAATTTATTACATCATATATATATATATATATATATATATATATATATATATATATATGCGTATATATAAAATATATATGTAAATATATATATGTATATATATTCGCGTTTCGAAATATTTTAAAACTTACTCGATTTTCTTTACATGACGTTCGTTTGCATGTCGCAACCATGATTTTATTGGTTCAGCAATATAATGATCTGTTGTTTCTCATCGTATCAAGTCTCATCGAATAAATACTTCATACGATGAGAAATACTTTTTAACCTTTTTTATCTTAATACAAAAGAATATATATATATATATATATATATATATATACATATATCTAATAAAGATTACATTATTTACATAAAAATATATTTATATATAACTTACGTGTATCATCGAAATCAGCTTATGTCCAAAAACCTTCAAACTGATGTTTCGCAAGAATAAAAAACTGGTGTTAACGTATCCACCTAAAACAATGTAGAAAGAATTGCATTAAGTAATTATGATTATTTCTTAACAAACACAAAGTAAGAACAACATATATGACAATAATTTATTATAATTTTCCATTCAAACTATAACATAAAATATGCCTTGTAACAATTACATTGAATAAGAAATGTTATGTTATTCTTTGTGTTTGCTTAATTAGAAGTTTGGATAGTTCTAAAAATATTTATTAATTAAAATTTATTCATTAATAATTGCTAAACGCTGATTTTTAACAACAGCAAGCAATGAATATAACCTAATCTAACCTAATGTTTCTACAATTATTCTGTAAAAAAATATCATGTATTATATGTTTGTATATTGTTCATCTCAAAGAATAATTTGAAAAACAAATAATTAATTAATTTGCTAAAAAAATTACACTTACCTATATTCTTCCACTTATTGTAAAAAGATTTCAAGCTCCTGAAATAACCGGCAATACTGATCACAGTAATCACTATGGCACGCTTATGGAGGATAGATCGGGAAACATTCCACCGATACTATCCCACGTGACGATCTTAGCAGACATGTGATACGCTATTGAGGCCTGTTGCGCTGGCTTGCGCTACTGCACATGTGCAAGCTCACAATCTTTTCTCACGATTTTTGATTTTTGCTCTGCTACATTAGTGATGTACACTGCGCGTCAACGATTCGCAGGGTTGTGCAATGGCCCTAACTTATTGGCTATGTATTAATACATTAGGTTGATAAGTTAGGACTACTGCATGACCCTGCGAATCATTGACGCGCAGTGTACTATATCCAGATGAGACTCGGAGTCGGAGTCTCATCTGTTGTGAGAAAAAAGATTATATATAGTACAATTTTTTAATTACATATATATATTTATTTTATCAATTAATCGCCAAACGTAGGATATCCTCCAGACATCCAAAGGACATCCAATATAATATACAAGGACAGATATCCTACAGATATCCAGTGGTTATCCAATGAACATTTATGAAACATTTATACTTTAAATTATATTAAATATTTTGTATAACTGACAGTATCATGCATGCATATTAAGTTTTCATAAAATATATTTATAATGATATCTTAAAATGTCCTGTAAATGTCCTGAGCCGTCCTGGATATATTCAGGATGATCCTGAGGATGTCTGGTGCTGTCTGGGTAATATTGGTTTATTAGATGATATATTAGAATTTAAAGTTTCATTAATTATATTACCTTCTAATTTTCTTATTTTTCGCTGGGTTGGAGAATTAATTGTATAAAACGTTTTTTTATAGTTAGCATATGGCATCTTAACCTTAAATATTAAATTATATATTATTTCTTCTTTTCTAAAAAACTGTAAATGTTATAATCTTACCTTTTAATTCTTCCTTGAGGATTCACAAAAATTATTATGTTTGAAAATAAACTTATACACTGAACAGGCACAATTAATAAAAAATGTCGATCAAAGCACTGGCACTGCTAAGCACAATCATCAGGCACACAATGATATAAAAAAGCGGGAAATGACGTTCATTTCGTTACTTTCGTTGCTAAGATACTGCGCATGCGCAATATCTTTGTTACTTGCAAATCCAACAGTTGAAACATTTCTTACACGTTTTACTGATTTAAAAAAATATACCATCAATCTTTCAATTAAATAAAAGCAAGTTACAATTAAAAAACAAAATATTCTTTTACATATATGAACAACATATATAATATATATGATAAATATATATATATATGTATATATATATATATATATATATATATATATATATATATATATATACAGGGTGATTCAAAATAACCCCTGTGTCCGCGAAATGACACATTGTTGAGTCAATTCTAAGACGATTTTTCCTTTTGCAAAATTTCGTCCGAAGCTTAGTTTTCGAATTATTAAAGAAAGTAGTTAACGCATGACGGGTCGGATACAAGAGGCAGGCAAGGGTGACGCGAGGCCCGTCAGACGCGGGCGCTTACGCGGGGCGCCTGCTGCGATCAGCTGGTCGCTATACACATACAGACACACATGCAAACACATACATTCTTTCTCTGTCTGCTGTCTGTCTGTCTGTCTGCCTCTCTCTCTCTCTCTTTCATTCGCTCACTCACCTGTATTTTTTTTTTTTTTTTTACGAGAGAGGGGAAAATGCATTTTATGCATACCTACCGGTCAATCCAGTGAGTTATGTGGGACTCGAGTACCAAGTCGAATTACCAACTCGGTATTCCCTACTCACTAAAAACCCCTCCCTTTTCACGAATTTTCTTTGATACACTGTCCCTCTATCCTTCTCGAGATCCGTTTTCGCATAATGTCAAAAAATAGTTATTATTACCTTATTCAATGACTTCTGATGTATTGCTGTAATTGCTTGAAGAAGAAATGAATTTTCCGATAGATCGTACGTTCTCAGATTTAACGTAGATATCACGTTGCACAAGAAATCCACACTAAATTATTAACTGAAAGTTTTTCTTCTTTCATGAACTGCATTCTTTTATAAACTTTAACATAATCACATTTATTTACTCACTCGACGAGACGAGAAATTTAATAATGACTCTATCACTAATCATTATTAATCACTGTCGAATAATAACTGTTGACGATTAAAAATCACTCGATAAAAGAAACACTTCTTCAATCGAACACATGATCGCGTTCGATAGCGCCAGTAGTACCCACACAGCACATGATATCGTACGAATATTCTATACTCATTCTGTGAATGTACGTACTGTACGTAATATACTCAGAACATTTTTATAATATCTTGTGTAGTATATTATTTTTCGTATATTCTCAGGATATTATCAGAACATTTTGTGTAGTATATTATTTTTCGTATATTCTCGTATATTCTCAGAATTTACTTTTAATATCTTTTATAGTATATTATTTTTCGTATATTCTCATAATATACTATTGAATTACGTGCATTTTTACTTTTGAGCGGATATGTATGCCATTTTGGATACGTAATTTCCGCTATTGCCGTCATTTGTCTTTTCCTTCTAGTTGCCACAGGACAATAACCGACACGTGCAGATGTGTTTCGTCTAAAATAAATTTTTCTTTCTCCCGCGCGTTCCGTTGTATATACGGACTATTAAGAACTTACACTCATTTCAACCTCTTAAAGAAGATAATCTGGCAGCCTAATCAGCACTCAGTAAAACTGCTGATTTTTGCTAAAAAGGAAGAAGAAGAAGTCTTTTCCTTCTTCTTCACTGACGACGTACGTGTAACGTGTAACGTGTAATTCTTTGCTACGTCTGTGATACGATTGTGATTATAATCGCAGGTAATACTTCTTATTCTCAAATAAATTAAATATAAAAGGTATTTTATAAAAGCTAAATTTTATTTATTATATTTTTTATTAATACTTAATAATTACGATATTAACCTCAAAAATGCAAATTAACCTCACAATATAGTTCATTTTCTCATAAGTTTATTAAATAAGGTTAAAAATACTTATTATTCTTATCTGTGTTGCAGTATTGCCATGTAAAAAGCCATGTAAAATAATATAAATTTATTTTTGCAAACAATCTACATAGGAAAGACACACATACACAACTGGAATATTGCGTATAGCAAGGTGTGTATAAATAATTTGTAATAAAAAACTAACATTTTGATATTTCTTTTACATTTTGTCTTGTTTTTTTATTTCTTATGTACACAGCTCATCAATATAATTCATTCCGTTTATATCATACTGAAGCAACAGGGAATGCTACGTATCTTATATGATTTTTTATTATCATATACATATATTTATATCTTTCATAATTATATCTTTACGTTCATAGTTATATCTTTACATGTGATTTAAAATATACATAGGATGTCCCAAAAGATATACAGTTAAGTTTAAAGATTTGTTAATGTTTTTGTGAGTCAAAAATGTCAATATAAACTTATCTTTGATTAGCAGAACTATTATATGGAGTTATTACAATACGATGAATCATGGAATTCCTAGCATTAATAAAACTGTTTTGAATGTCAGTAACATTGATAATCAAATATAAGTTTATTGACATTTTTTACTTAAAAACATGATTAACGAGCTCTTAAATTTATGACTTTTGGAACACTTTGTATGTATACAGAATGTTCTGTAGATACAGAACATAAAATTATTTATGACAATTATAAACTTTAAAAATTTAATTTTTTAATTACATTACATGTAAAGTTTATAATCACATCTTTGCATTGATTTAAATAACAAATATATATAAAAATATATATTAATGTTTTCAAATCAGTTAAAAATATAAATGTAAATATTTAAGTTTATATTATGTGTAATTTTAGACCTCAATGTTAATAATATATAATTTTGTATGTATATGGCACATTCTATATTTATATGCTGCTAATTTATCAAAAATATGTATTTTTATGTGAAATTATTATTATATGTTACAGCGTTCGCACAAAAAGAACATTATTATCAACTTCATGATCTAATAGTTTCTGTGAAGTAAGAAAATTGTATACATATATATATATACAGGGTCTACCAAAAGTGTGGAAACCCCTAAATATCTCGGAAAATATACGTTTTACAGAAAAGTGTTTCCAACAAAAGTTGTAGGGTTTAAGAAGATCTATATACTGATTCTATCAGTTTGACCTTGGATGGCGTCGTCAAGGTCAGGTCAAGGTCACATTGACTTTTTTAAATGACACCCCCTACATTTGATTGCATATTCTTATAGCTTAATTCAAGAGCTTTCCAAAACACTATAATAATGTTCATTTTTATTAAGTACTTTGCGAGTTATGAGGGTTGAATGATAGAGTAGCGCCGGTATTAACATTATCCAAGGTGTACTACATGGAGGTTACTCGCTCGGATTTGCATCTGTTGTGTGTGTGATCCAGCTAACTAAGGCAAGATCGGTCGTGGATCCAGTCAGCAAAAGCAAAGACCCAACCAAATTACAATCGAGCATTTAAAGACCTGGAAAGCAATCGACATAGTAAACAGTAAATAAATTTGTGGATGCTCATTTATCATAATAATTGTTCGAAATGTGTGCGTGTGCGTGCGTGCGGTGCGTGTATACAGAGATCAGGTTAGGTTGCACCAAACGATTGCAAATGTGTTTCAATGTGTTAAAGTAAATGCTGAAAGTGGCTGCCATTTACTTCCTGACAATATGCTAATCTTTGGTAGAATGTAGAAATGACTTTACGATTCGTTTCAAAAGGTATCAAAGCCATTTCATCCCTTATTCGCTGTATCAATTCGTGAATGGTTTTAGGTTTTGTTCTGTAAACCTTACTCTTCAGATATCCCCATAGATAATAATCAAGAGGAGTTAGATCTGGTGACCGAGGTGGCCAATCCTCTCCTCCCTCATTTCCGTTCCTTCTTCCTATCCACCATAGCGGAAAAGTCTCATTTAAAATACGACGTGGTCCTGCACCAAAATGAGCAGGAGCTCCATCATGCTGAAACCATATTTCTTGGAAATTATTTGGAAAAGTATTCTGTATGGCTGGAATTATTTGATCAACAAGTAATCTCTCATACCTTTGAGCGTTCAAATATTCTTCAAAAAAAAACGGCCCTATTAAATAGCCATCTATTATTCCGCACCATACATTTATTTTTTGTGGATGTTGTGTGTGAGTTTCCCGCACC